CAATAGGTAATGCACTGTATTGTTTATAAACCCAATAGGTGATGCACTGTATTGTTTATAAACCCAATAGGTGATGCACTGTATTGTTTATAAACCTAATAGTAATGTATTGTTTTCTTTATAAACCCAATAGATAATGCACTGTATTGTTTATAAACCCAACTGATGATGCATTGGATTGTTTATAAACTCAATAGGTAATGCACTGTATTGTTTATAAACCCAATAGGTGATGCACTGTATTGTTTATAAATTCGATCTTACTTATAATAATTCATCTTCTGTTTGTAATTACAATATAGGATAGGGTTTTAACACAGTAAAATATACAGCAGGAATTTGTAGAATATGGAATAAGACGTTCCAGTCAATCAGATGTACTTTTCCATGAGACCAGGAGGTCGAGATTCACCATTTTGTCAGATGACCCCATCGATAATTGTAACTCTTAACTTGAGCTAAATGAAGCATTTCCGCATGTCTTGTGTATAATGCAAAGAAACTTACATTACAGGGACTTCTAAAAGATCGTGTTGTGACGCGATTATTAACTTTTAGTGGGGAACAATTTATGATTGTTTGATCCGTATTTAGTGACTGGTGAATGATTTATAATTGTTTGATCCGTATTTAGTGACTGGTGAATGCTTTCTGATTGTTTGATTCGTATTTAGTGACTGGTGAATGATTTCTGATTGTTTGTTCCGTATTTAGTGACTGGTGAATGATTTCTGATTGTTTGATTCGTATTTAGTGACTGGTGAATGATTTCTGATTGTTTGATCCGTATTTAGTGACTGGTGAATGATTTCTGATTGTTTGATCCGTATTTAGTGACTGGTGAATGATTTCTGATTGTTTGATTCGTATTTAGTGACTGGTGAATGATTTCTGGTTGTTTGATTCGTATTTAGTGACTGGTGGATGATTTCTGATTGTTTGATCCATATTTAGTGACTGGTGAATTATTTCTGATTGTTTGATCCATGTTTAGTGACTGGTGAATAATGTCTGGTTGTTTGATCCATATTTAGTGACCGGTGAATGATTTCTGGGTGTTTGATCCGTATTTAGTGACTGGTGAATGATTTCTGGGTGTTTGATCCGTATTTAGTGACTGGTGAATGATTTCTGATTGTTTGGTCCGTATTTAGTGACTGGTGAATGATTTCTGATTGTTTGGTCCGTATTTAGTGACTGGTGAATGATTTCTGATTGTTTGGTCCGTATTTAGTGACGTGTGAATGATTTCTGGGTGTTTGATCCGTATTTAGTGACTGGTGAATGATTTCTGACTTCTCAGTGTTTGAAGCACAAAGAACTACACAACAAGCAACAGACTAAAACTACATTCCTTGATTTTATATACGCTTTTCTTATTTCTAGTGATATTAACTTACCGTGAGAATTACATGCTGTTAGAAGTAAGACGCAGATCATTGCTATGTAGATAAGCTGGCTAGTCCATATTATTATATTTCTTTCCATAGCCACTTGTTAAGTCGGATTCTTTTCGAGCACAGGAGAATACGGATACTACAGGGCACGTGAGGCTTGCACGCCTCGCATTCTGACAAGTATTTCTCCTGTTGCCAGTCGAAGCACTTTTAACATTTCTAAGATAGGTGGGCAGAAAGAATTCAGGGGAGCCTGAAGAGTTTCTTGGGTCACTTGTTCGCAGACGAGTGACGCTCTTGCCGCAGTGCGATTAGAAGTCTTGCTACGGTAATAATGAGAACATGTCTCGCTTAGCGTGGCGTGAATGTTAAACCAGTTCGTTCGGTACAGAGCACGAAATCTCCTCTGTGATCACGTGGGGTTGTCATGTGATATTCCACTCTTCCGTTGCTAGGAAGAGGAAATCTTTGAAATGGACGTGATTGTGTTTCACAATACGAACTATTTTTACCGTGAAACATGTTATGCAGCATCAATTTAAAATACGAAACTAATTTTTCTGACTTTTCACCCACATGTAGTAAAGAGGATACTTTCGACAACTAAGCAAAAAAAAACAACGTAAAAAATTATGAAACAGCAAATATTGACACCAATTTATTTTCATCTAGACATTCAACTAAAATAATTTGAAACTCGAGAATCAGTTTATTTACTGTTTTTAGGATTCAAACTGGGATTCCAATTTTTTCATGCCACTTCCACAAAAGAACGAACACGCGGAATTACAACCACTTAACTAGCATAAACAGAGAAACTCCGTCTTTCTTCTGATCCGTATTGAACATTTATGATGCACTCTGATCTATTTGCCAATTTCAACTTAAGCAGGTATGTTTATTTATTGGATTTCGTGCAAATTTACACGAGGGATTTGATCGTCACTTCTATAACTCACCAACGGCCCCAAAATATGAACTTTACGTTTGATTGGTGGTAACGTGGTTAATTGTTTTCTTCTTAGAAATAAGTTTGTGATAATATCGAACCCAAGTCCGTGAGAATATCCAACAGTTTCACAAAAGTTTCAATAGTTTAAACTCTCTGTTTCAACGGTATAAACTGTCAGTTTGAATGGTTTAAACTATCTGTTTGAATGGTTTAAACTGTCTGTTTCAACAATATAAATTGTCTGTTTCGACTGTATAAACAGTCAATTTGAATGTTTAAACTGCCTCTTTCAACAGTATAAACTGTCTGTTTCGACGGTATAAACTGTCTGTTTCAATGGTTTAAACTGTCTGTTTCAATCTTATAGAACACAGAAGTGACAGCACGTAAAGTTCTAAATTGAAATAATGAAATAGTTCGTAGATATTATTAACGTAAAACAAGAGCTTAGTTCATATATATCAATGTCATTAAGTTTCAGGTGCATAATAATAATATAAATGTGCAAACGTGAGTCTGTTGCTACGGTAATAAGTTATTTTCGCTATAATAGTTCAATAAAAGATACTGGTAAACCTATAAATCGAGAAAGGTTACAAGTAAAGCTTGAAATAACATTTGGCATTTCTTCTTTATACATGTACCATCATATATATCTGTCCATTTCGTTAAAGAGCCGCTTGTTCTTATTGTCTCTGAGATCACACAGCTACTTGTCCGAATCATTACAAAGATCTTACAGCTGCCCGTTCTTACCATCTGATGTTTAAACGTTTTACAGACTTGAGCTGTTATTTCTTTGTCTGTATCTTTAAAGGATAGAGGAATTTCTTTTGTTTAAACGTTTTACAGAGTTGAGATGTTATTTCTTTGTCTGTATCTTTAAAGGATAGAGGAATTCTTTAGTTTGTTTAAACGTTTTACAGAGTTGAGATGTTATTTCTTTGTCTGTATCTTTAAAGGATAGAGGATTTTTTTTGTTTAAACGTTTTACAGAGTTGATCTGTTATTTCTTTGTCTGCATCTATAAAGGATGGACGAATTCTTTAGTTTGTTTAAACGTTTTACAGAGTTGAGATGTTATTTCTTTGTCTGCATCTATAAAGGATAGATGAATTCTTTAGTTTGTTTAAACGTTTTACAGAGTTGAGATGTTATTTCTTTGTCTGCATCTATAAAGGATGGACGAATTCTTTAGTTTGTTTAAGTGTTTTACACAGCTGATCTTAGGGAGAAGAAAAGTACAGCCGAAACCTTTCTTTTGCCATGTTGATTATGGTTAAAGTGTATAAACTTAAAATACTCTAGGAACATGTATTTTAAAAAAATATTCAGTCTATTTATAGTAATAGTGTTTGATATAACCACGAATTATCAAGAATGTATGTGGTAAATCCAATCTTTCTAAGTAATATCCTTTCTGTCCGGTATCCCCAGCATCTATTCTTTAGAGCATAACTGACATTAAGTTAATTAAATTAATTTGTTTCTGTTCCTACAAATCAAGACTGATTTGCTGAAGAATATGCACTGACCAGCAGGAGCTTGGTCAAGCTAAACATGATACGTCACTAATGAATGTATATCAAAGATATTTCTGGCTGTGTTCGATTAGCACTGAGCTCCGACATTATCATCCCAGAACTAACAACGCTAGTAATTTCCCAGGGAAGCCGACCAGACTCGTTTTCTCATCTAATTACTCACTAATAAGAAAGAAAAAAAAACATCAGTAGCCTAAACAATCTATTTTCATCTTGTGAGATCTTATATCAAACCCAAAGGTTAATAAAAAATATATTAAGCTGTAGAATCCTAATAAGATAATACAATCGGGACTAAAACTCTTCAATTACAAAAAGTTATATAAAAACAATGCACTGTTATATGTTTCTTTACGTTTGTTATTATTTAAATAATGACAAAACAGTTCTTAATTTAAACAAACTGTCGGCCTTTCAACCTTTGTTCTGTAAAAAACAGAGCAATGTTTTTTGTTTCTTTACGTTTCTAATTATTCATAATAAAGAAAGGGTATTTAATTTAAACAAAATAAACTGTAAGCAAGATACACCGTTTCAGGTTTCAAATTATTTTGTTGATTATCGTCAAAGTGTACCTTTCAGGTTTTAGATATCATGCTATTAATATCACACTCTAAACTTTAAGCTAAAGATTTATACGGTAACGTAACATTTAGAATGTGTGAGATTGAAAAGTGAAACATTTAACACGCTCAACTTTTTGTGTGCTATACCTACAACATTATTATACGTCTCTCACTTCCACTCAGCACAATGTTTATGATACGCGGTTTATATCTTCCAACGAACCTGATATGTACAATAGTCTATAAATATTTATATCTGACATGGCATATATCTTCCACTAAACACAATCCTTATTGTAGCAGTAAATATCTTAAATGGCTTATATCTTCCAATGTTCATTGAAAACTTCTAAACTTTCGTCAAAATATCTTATTTTATTTTCATATTTATATTTTTTAAATAACTCCACAATAAAACTGAAACATTCCTATCAGTTTAAGAGATGTTTATGCCAGTTATGACATGGCATATATCTTCCGCTAAACACAATCCTTATTATAGCAGTAAATATCTTAAATGGCTTATATCTTCCAATGTTCATTGAAAACTTCTAAACTTTCGTCAAAATATCTTATTTTATTTTCATATTTATATATTTTTTAAATAACTCCACAATAAAACTGAAACATTTCTATCAGTTTAAGAGATGTTTATGCCAGTTATGATAGTTCTTCAGAAAGTTTGATATCTTAAACTTTCTTATTGTTTAAGTCAAGATAAGCTTTATGAAGACGTTAATTTGTAAATGGATTATTAAAATCTTAGCAAATGTAAAATATTTTTAATTAAAAAATCAGGAAGTAAGAATGGGAGAATTAAAAAGTAAGGAAACAAGGTAGGAATGGGTGGGTTAACATTACAAAACTTGGTGGTTTTTGACACGGTACAACCTCAAAGTGGGTGTGGCCATCGTTTCGCCCATTCCTACTTCGTGTGCTTTTGTAACTTGGTAATTGTTTAAACTAAATGAAAAGTGTATATAACTAAGTTTATCTGTTGGAAACTTTGTTTCACAAACTAAGTACAGATTCGTGTAATCAAATTACGTGACCCTAACGGAATGCATGACATCATAAGGGGAATGTTTGACGTCGGAAGTGAGACAGGAAGCTCCAATTGTCATACTTTGCTTATGGGAGACATTATAGCTAACTGACAGTTGAGAAGAGGTAGTAAGAAGTGAAGGTTTACATGCCAGGCGTGGCCTAGCTATTGCGTGCCGGAACAGGAATCCTTATGGCCATGATTCCGCCCATTCCTACTTCATTATTTACTTTGAACTTTGATCCAATTATAGAATTGAGTTATATCAGTAGCTAATCCTTCCGAAATACTCAAGAAATTTAGAAATTTCATAAATCATCGGTTGATACTATTTTTTGGCCCAACCCTTACAAAAAATATTTTTACACGTTCTCGCGATTTTACGAAGTTTCTATTTACGCAAACGTCAAAGTAGCTATAGAACGTAGAACGCTTTAAATACAATTTCTGTAAAGAAACAAGTCTAAATAACACCAATAGGTGATGGATGAGCTATTTTTAAAAGCACTGGAATGAACTTCGTATGCTTAAGGAGAGTAGAAATCTTCATTAGACTAGAAAAAACAACACTTACCCTATGACAACACTTACTCTATAACAACACTTACTCCCTATGTAGGCTACAAACATAGATTTATTCAAAAATAAGAACACTAAGTAAGTTACAAACAGAGTTTTATTTAAAAAGAAAACAAATAGGAATTTCTTACACTAAGAAGTACGGGGGGTAATTCCTTAGTCATTGTAGTTCGCACCAAAGAATACAAAAATTTCAAAATTAACAACCCAAAACAAGAGATGAGATATCATATAACAAAAAAATTATAAGGATTATAATCCTTTTAGAATTAGTAATAATTTGTATTTTATTTATTTCCTTACTCTCCACAAATTTATGTTGTTTTCTCGCAAATTTAGCATTTAGGACTACAGAAATATTTTAATTTCAAAGTAAAATTGCTACTCTCCCTTTTCCCGCGAAACACAAACTAAAGAGTATAAAATTATACCCCCCCTCTACATAAATGCAATCTATTTATTAACTTTTGTTTATTTTTTATGTGGTTTAACATTTTAGTGAGAAATATCCTAATTATCATGAATTTGTTCTTGTTTGCAGAATCACAGCATAAAATTGACGAAATTTTTGCTTGCTCTTTGTTATTAAAACACTTAGCAAATCTCTTGTTTGCTTTTTTTTTTG